TGCCTCTCGACTTCTCCGATCTTGGCTTGGGAAACCTGACAGTATCCCAGCCCTCGTGCTTCCTTGGGGTGGCGTAGCAGTTAGGCACCGAAAGAATGCTACAGGTGAACGATTGTTGTTGTTTGAACTATCTGTTACACATCCACTGGTCCGAACACCGCTGACCGGATGCCAATCATCGACATGGTGTAAACAATCGTACCGTAAATGACCAGTCTTGTTTTATCAAGTGGACCTGGATACGAATTTGCTTTTTTTTTCTAAGATGTAACGTGTCATCACATGTACAATTGCATTACCTATTAGAATCGGGCCTAGACAACAAAGAATTACCAGGTTTGCAGCGCCATGACAATACATCTGTTTGGCAAGAAACAGTGTCCAAGTAGTTCTTAGGATGAAAGCTCTGATTTGCTTCAATAAATTTGTTGATTTCTAATCGACCGTCCACCTGTGATGTTGTAAACTTCATCACATCCTGGTGAGTGCCATACCTAGCACACTCTGCAGATCTTTGAAGCTTTTGACTCAAAATGTCCGTGGTTCTTAACCATTGTTTTGGGGGGTCACGAAAAGAATGTAAACAGCACTGTAAAGCAGATGGTGCAATGGTGAAATGGTAGAGAATAATATCGCCTACTCTCCGCGGGAGTCTTCCATGCGGATAACATGCGGATAACTCATTGTGTAGAATGAGTGTGCTTTCTGACCATTTCAGTTCTTTGTTACGTGGGCTGTCGAAGAGTTTTCAGCAAACCTGTGAGTAGTTTCTTCTATGAAAGTATACTACGATATCTCGAATATCGTGCCAACTGAACCATGAGGCGGCCTGTATACAGCATATTCAGCTGGAGGACATCATAAACGAGAGATTCAATCGAGTCTCCCGTGAAAACCAAATTGATTTGCAAATGAGTGTATTTCTCGAAAACAGTGCAATTTGGGTTCAAGTAGAACATAAGGTTGGTAGAACCTCGGGGACTGTGCCTACCTGATGAGCCCCAATTAGGGCAAAACCGGTCGTGGGTTGTCGAAGAGTTTTCAGCAACCTTGTGAGTAGTCTCCTTCATGATTTTCATGAGTTTGCTCTTGTTTGGCAGCTCGCGATCTCTTAACCACACTGAAGCTATGTAATCAAAATCAGTTTTAATGTTGCTGGTAATGTGAGGGGCTTTGGAAGGCTTCATAGAGTTTTCGGCTGTTAATTAAAAGCAAATTTGGATACAAACCATGAGAGGCCATGTGAAACTGTTTCATCAGAATTGGGAATCTCACGAAACTCCAGGATGGGGGGGGGGGTTCGAACCCTCTGTCAGTAGTTTGAACATTCAACAGTTCGGCCACAAGTGGGTGATCAGAAGGCCCATTAACCCGCACTCAAACAGTTTTAAACATTCATACTTGCTATGGATATCCATTCGTGAATCCGAAGGTCGACTGTCTCTTGCATCAATCAGCTGATTGATTGCAATATTCAGTGAGACAGAGCACAGCTGTCTCAAATCAGTCGTAATGTTTTCTTTTGAATCATTGATCCTCGCATCGCACCGTAGTTGGATTGCTCTCATAAAGGATTATTTTGAAGGGAGTACGGTTTGGGGGACAAATATGGGCTTGCAAGTGTATCTGCCCTATGAGACCATCAGTCTTAAATCATCCCTTATATTGGTCGTCGAAGGATTTTGGGACTTGTGTTCGGAACCAATCACAGGACCTTCCATCAAGTTTCAAAGTGTTCGTGGCGCGACCTGACTGGGAATTCCTCGCTGGTGGGCCAATCGATCGACACAACTAGGCCGCCTACTGGGTCGTCATTCTAGGCGCCGGGCGAACCAGTCAGATCGCTCAATCTCTCAAGTTTAAACACATTCGCCTGTTCAGACGTGATAAAACAGGTGATAACACACTCAGCTTGCATGTCAGATTTGCGGATTTCAAACCCCGGCAAGGTCAAGGAAGTGCAATGCTGACGAGTTCCAGTAAGAGTGAACTTCGAGTCCAGCGCTTCCCCCTTTAGTATAGACTCACCAGAATGAGTACGCCCGGACAGGAGGATGACTGTTCTTACAAAAGCGATTTGAACGCGAATCCACTGTAGCCGACGATGAGTATTCCTAAGCCAAAGTCTGGTAACCTGGAAGTACATCGAGAAGCTCTTAGAACCATACAATTCCATTCTGTTGAAAGCACCAGAGCGGTTAATTCTTGGTAGCATAAAGCCTTGCACATCTATGTGCGTACAATACGCTAGATCTTCGACGGATCCCGGAGCCTGTCCCCAACCTGAGGTCTTTGAATGCCAGAACAGGGGACTTCTGCGGTTGCTTTAGGGACTTCAGCAGTGACTCCGATACAACAGATGGATAACTCCACAAGCCTTCCGGGGTGAACAATTAAAGACCGTTCCTGTCTATCTAACACAATATCTTTAACACCGGATGCCGGTGTGTTCAGACTGTTGTCCAAGACCTTCAATAAAGAATTGGAATGCTCCGAAACAGCTGTTTCTTCACCGTTCACAGACGCTTTGAAACCGGATGAACAGTGATCCTTGAAAAAGCATGTGGACAAGATTGCCCTTGTCTCACATCACCAACTTCTGACTTGTTTTAACAAGATATTAAAGCCATGTGGACACAAGATGTCCCTCTACAGCTGGACCCAGATTGTGTCCATACCGAGGCGAGGGGGACACATTGAGGCTATCTCACTTACTATAGCCCCAACCTTTATCAACGACTGCCCACTGCCTTAAGCTACTTGTATAAAATATCCTATGTTTGTGATCTTTTCTGACCAAGAATGATTTTGAAGACATCGACAAAACATTCCTTATAATTCAAAGACTAGATTTCAAAGGCTAATCATCCCAGATCAGTACAGCAGCGCGCAATTGCAGTGGCTGAAGCTATCGCCATACGACATCGCGACCCGATCCTTTGTCGGCAAAAACGCTTTGTTCGGGTGTTGTACTTACCATGGTCCAACTCACCTCCCCTCACACATGCACCGTGTGCTGAACACTCAACTACAACACCCCCCTAGCTGACTAGTTCAAGTCATCCTATTGGTGACCTGAACTAATGGTTCTTTGATAGGTAGCCAATGTCATCCAGAGCCGGCGACTTGCGGTCTGGACCGGGCAGCTGGTGTATGAAGGCCAAAGTGAGGTTGGTATATAAACTGGTGTCGAGCTACAAATGGTCATTCCTCGCTTGCTCCTCTTGCGGTCCGGGTGTCCACGACGTGCAGGACGCCGCCACCACGGTTGCAACGACGGTACGGCCAAGTGGGATGGTTAAATGTGGTAGAATGTCATGTAGATTCATAGGATGTATCCTCGGACGAACAGAATTTCGGTGAAATGCTTCCTCACTGGAATGCTGGTTAAAAGGGTCGTCGGTAAGTTGATATTTTTGCGCACAATCATGCTGCTTTTGACTGCCGATCGTTCATGCGTGTCATTCAGCGAGGCAGTCGCCATAAATGGGAAGCTTTCTAACAGACACTGTCGTCCTCAGTCCATCAAACACGAAGATTTTAGAATAACACAGTCTCCACTGGCATGGAGATCCCTGACTTTGTTAAGCAATCTGCTTACGCAGTGCCAAGCCGATTTCTCAACTGGCCATCACTAACTCTGCGAAGTCTGCGGCCCGACGCGCGGCTCTGTGGTTACCATCTTATACATATGTTCTCCCCTAGGAGACGTCTTCAGGGGACCGACGAAAAATTTGTTTGAAAAGGCATTACAAAGGGATAGAGAAGACTTGAGATGGCACAGTGGTTAGGGCTTGAGTTTCCTGACCGGAAGGCCCGTGGTTTGAACCCAACTCCGACTTCTCGACCCTTCATGTCTATGCTTGAGCAGTATCCCAACCCTCGTGGTTCCTTCCGGTGGCATGGAGGCTATGCGCCGAAAAGGTGTTACTGATAGTTTCGGTATAGCTGACGACGCAGCATATTCCTCAAACACTTTTCAGTGCTGTTGTACATCACCCAAAAGTACTTGCAACAGCTGTTCACCTATTTCTTGCCCGAACTCCTTTCACCATCCCTCCGACTTCCACCGACCCATCGCAATTTCAGACGTGATCCAGGAGGAGAATAGATCAAATGAGGAAATGTCAGTTTTGCTCAATTAGCGACTGTCAGGAAGGTCAGATTTCTGAAAGTGACCCAAGAACGCCCGAAACCTACTCAGACCCCAGAACGCCGCGGAAATCTCAATAGGGGGCCGGTAAGCAAATCAGGCTAGTCAATCATTCGATCGATTCAGAAAAAGCCGACAAGTGTTCAACCACGCCACAGAAGCACGGTCGACTATGATCAGCGTTCAGGCATTTCATAGAGGCACGGTTGTTGTTGATGGGTATTCACTAAACGCCTATCAGACAGCCTGGATCAATAACAGAAACTCCCCTTCAAATAGCGCGGGGCCGTTGTAACTTTTGCACTCGCACGCATTCGCTTGTTCGGTGAGTCATTTTCCGGCACTAGGCACAGGATCGGTGACCGCAGTCAGATACATCAGCGACATACACTCACGTGCAAATGATATCGGTGTTAACGGGAGACCACACTGATTCTCTTGCTTATGATATGATTTATCTTGGCCTCTGATTAACGCCGATGTACTGCACCGATTATATAAAATCCGATGTTCGCTTAGAACATAGAGAGAGTTGAGGAAAACCAGGTGACTGTTTGCTGAGGTCGAGGAAGGGCGAAACCAGTTATGAGCTGTCGAGGATTTTTAATCACCCTTACTAACATATGTTGAAACGTCAAAATAATAGTTTTGTTCATTTGGAGAAAGCTTGGAACCGATTGTTTACCAAGCCCTTCTGAGACCACAGATTATCTTCTTGAAGGCAATAGCAGTTGACCGAAAGCTCCGACCAACGCAACGGGACATGAGGCTTATCATTTGAACCTCTGATTTGCTTCTTTCTTAACTTAACTCCGTGGTCACTTTTATAAGGACAACTTAAGCAAATGCATCGCATGGCTGAACATGTTTGCTGCCTTCAATTCAGTAGCGTGTTTCATGGGTTATTCTCAAAGTGCCATGAATTCGGCTGTCGGCAATTCTACACCTTCTGCTGCCCTGCCAGTTGCGTTGAATTGTTGACAAGTCCTTTTTATCGGATTGCTAGAAAAGAACCATATTAGTATCGACCTATCCCCGAAAAGCCCACTTTGTAACACCGGTTTGGTGCATGTATGTATACGCAGGGAAAAGAAGAAACAATGTGGTTCCTTACCTCAGTCACTGGTCAACTCAGACGGGTCCTTCAGGGCCAAGCTGTTGCATGAGTTGTCCTCGATCGCGAAGCGTTTTCGTCCTGCCAAAACCCACCCGTTCCTCCTTGCAGGTCACTGGTTGTCTTTTAGTTTCCGCGTACCCGTTGTTAGTATACCCATATACATATCTGTATCCCGGGTAGTGTATTAAAATTCGCCACTGACGCCGGACAGCGGAAATTCTCCGCTTGATGATACACACTACTTATAAGGCTACTAGAAATTCTTAAATAGTTTACGACCGTTTTTGTCCCTCTCGGGGTGCAGTAGATAGGGGTAGTCCCAGTCAACTTCACGTTTTACTCGAACATCAAATTGCGAATGCATGCACTTCATCAAAATCCCCTTTTCTGTTCTTTTTTGTGTCTCGAATACAGTGACTTTTGATGTGATAGGATCGACTCGCACTTGTTTATTTGTGATGTGCTTCATGCCAATTCACATATGTGAAGCAACTTCAGACATAACACGCCTTTGACATGCGCATCACACACAGATGACATTCAAGGTCACGCTCAAGGTCATTCCCACAGCCTGATTTCAGACCGTTCGGAGACCGACAAAGTGGTTAGATTGGCAGTTTGCAGGTAATAACATTGACGTCATTCAATGTTTCACATTTCTTCTCTTTTATGCTAAAACTCTGAGCTTCTTCTGACGGTCTGTTTAGGTTAAACTTGTTACTTCATAGAATATCATTTTAATGTCCTGTACATTTGTTTAGTAGCAGGACAGGACTGGGTGACGTCCCCAAACATTCATTGGTCCGTTAAACACAAGGCTGCGATCATTTCTGAAGGATTCCACCTGATTTGTTGGAAAAGTATGTGAAGAATAAAAACGACAATCGCTCAGCTGAAGCAACTTTTCTGTGACCAAATGCCGTGCCTCCAGAAGGATGCACGTGGGGTGAGATACTGCCAGTTTGTACAAGAGCAGTGAAGATGCAAAGGATGGATTCAAACCATGAACATTCTGGTATGTAACTTCTCGCCTTAAACATTGAGCCTTGTCAAGAGCAAAGATTTGGAAAGCTCCTGCCCGAGAACACTATATATGTTCTTTAATGCATCCTCTGTTCCACGCTTCCACATGGACCTTCAGAGAATATGATGGTCACTGAGCGGGCATGGTGATTCACTTGAATCCGAAAAAACAGGTGACTACCAGACCAGTTCCTTCTGGGCCTATCTGATATGGTCCACAAATAACCTAGTCTTCCTTAATCCGACGGCGTTGCCATCGGCTCACCACTGGGCCCACTGCTAGCCGACATTTTCATGAGTAAACTTGAAAATGGTCCCTTAGAGGCTAACATAGAGAGTATGCAGCATTACTGCCGATAGATAGACGAAGTCCTCGCTGTTGTTAACAATGAAGACGAATTGGAATCGCTCCAACAACAGTTCAGTAGGGCTCACACTAGCACTAAATCCACTTCGGAAGGAGAGACCGACGTCTTCCACTCCCTAGATGTTGGCCTTGAACGACGTCACGATGGTACACTGAAACGATCGGTGTACCGGAAACCTACTTGGTCCGGGCGATATGTTAACTTTAGCAGCTTCGTGCCACTAAAAGAGAAGCGGAACCTGATCCATAGCCTAACTCACACAGCGAAAATATGCTCTGATGATGCGCTGGAACAAGAATTCCGAGCTCTCACCAACGTCCTGTGAGACAATGGATTCCCCGACAAGTTTATTACAAAACATTTGAACAGGAAGGAAGCAAACACCATCACAGCCACAGCTGGAAGGAAACCAGTTTACATTAGCCTCCCGTTTAAGGGAGATATACCGGCCGATCTACTGAACAGAAGACTTTCCACCAGTCTGAACAAAGTTTTCCCGGCCGCAAAACTCCGAACCTGGTTCACCAGCAATCGTTTGTGCCCCTTTAATCTCAAGGATAGAGTGCCTGTCCACGCCCAAAATATGTTAGTTTACTCATTCTCTTGCTGCTGTGCAGCGGAATACATCGGACGCACGACTAGGCAACTCGGCCAAAGAATGAAGGAACACAATCCACCCTGGCTAGCTTCTGGAACTAGGAGGACGATAACCAGCTCCGTAGTACAACATTTAGCTGACACTGCACACAACGTGATACCCAGCCAAAGTTTCCGCGTTGTTTACAAGGCGCCGGCTAACCAACCCAGATCAGTACAGCAGCGCACAATTGCAGTGGCTGAAGCTATCGCCATACGACATCGCGACCCGATCCTTTGTCGGCAAAAACGCTTTGTTCGTGTGTTGTACTTACCATGGTCCAACTCACCTCCCCCCACACATGCATCGTGTGCTGAACACACAACTACAACACCCCCCGAGCTGACTAGCTCAAGTCATCCTATTGGCGACCTGAACTAATGGTTCTTTGATAGGTAGCCAATGTCATCTCACTCGATCCCCTGTCCATTTACACCATACTCATTCAAATATGTTAAATACCGCTCTCTTAACCTTTGCAATTGTATGACTTGAGAAGACCTTGCCGAAAACATGTTCGTCAACCCATCTGTGTTTCCTAGCAAGGACTTGTTGAGTGTGACCAGGTGGACATTCATGCGCCCGGTAAGTGAGAAGCTTTCTAACAGACACCGTCGTCCTCAGTCCATCAAAAACGAAGATGTAAAATTACGCAGTCCATTACCGTAGGAATCGCTGAATTTGTTTGTTAAGCAATTTGATTACGCATCGCCAAGCCGATTTCTCAGTTGGTCATAACTTGGCGACTTTCTGGTCAGATCACCAGCTCTGCGAAGTCTGCGCCCCCACGCGCAGCTCTAGGGACCTCTTCAGGGGACCGACGACAGTTTGTTCGAAAAGGTATTACAAAAGGACAGAGAAGACTTGGGACAGAACAGTGGATAGGGCTTGTGTTTCCTGACCGGATGGCCCGTGGTTCGAACCCACCGCCGACTTCTCGAGCCTTCCTGCCTATGATTGAGCAGTATCTCAACCCTCGTGCTTCCTTCCGGTAACATGGGGACTATGCGCCGAAACGGTGTTATAGATAGTTTTGGTATAGTTGATGACGCAGCATCTTCCTCGAACATTCCTCAGTGTCGGTTGTACATCACCCAAAAGTTCCTGCAACAGCTGTCTACCTCTTTCTTGCCCCGAGCTCCTTTCACCATCTCTCCGAATTCCACCGACCCACCAAAATTGCAAACGTGATTCAGAAGGAGAGTAAATCAAATGAGAAAATGCTAGTTTCATTCAGTTGGCAACTGTCAGGAAGGTCAAATTCCTGGAAATAACCCTAGAACGCCCGAAACCTATTCAGACCACAAACTCCGCCAAAATCTCAATGGGGAAGCCGGCAAGCACCCAGGCTAGTCAATTGTTTAGTCGATTCAGAAAAAGCCGATGAGTGTTGTAGTAACGGTATTTCTCTCAGCTTAGATTCTCGGTCTGAGCCTCCCAAGCTAGGGTTCACGTAAAAAAAAAACAACCACCAAAGATGCACAAGGTATATTAACGCCCAAAACGAAGTCAGGAACAATTGTACAACGCTTCATATATATAGCGCAGGCGGTTATAACTTTCTGGAAATTCTGACGCGTTCTGGATGCGCCATTGGCAACCGGCATTTGGCCAACACTGGGTCATGATTGGCTGTTGGGCCCAGACTTTCGACCAATCGGATCTCGTTTTGAGGCCGGACCGGCAGCGTCCCGGATTCTTGGCCAATCTTGCGTGGGATGGACTTCTCGGCCGTAGCAGCACCTGAGTACGAGTGGTAAGGAGGGATCCGTGTAGAATTCCACCTAACAAGTGTTCAAGCACGCCACAGAAGTACGGTCGACTATGATCAACGTTCAGGCATTTCATAGAGGCACGGTTGTTGTTGATGGGTATTCGCTAAACTTCTATCAGACAGTCTGGATCGGTGTCAAAAAGTGCCCTTTAAATAGCGCGCGGCCGTTGTAACTTTTGCACTCGCACGCATTCGCTTGTTCGGTGAGTCATTTTCCGGCACTAGGCACAGGATCGGTGACCGCAGTCAGATACATCAGCGACATACACTCACGTGCAAATGATATCGGTGTTAACGGGAGACCACACTGATTCTCTTGCTTATGATATAATTCATCTTGGCCTCTGATTAACGCCGATGTACTGCACCGATTATATAAAATCCTCTTGAAGGCCAGTTGACCGAAAGCTCCGACCAACGCAACGGGACATGAGGCTTATCATTTGAACCTCTGATTTGCTTCTTTCTTAACTTAACTTAGTGGTCACTTTTATAAGGACAACTTAAGCAAATGCATCGCATGGCTGAACATGTTTGCTGCCTTCAATTCAGTAGCGTGTTTCATGGGTTAAAATTCTATACTTCGTCTGATAGCTTACTGTTGCCCTCACTTTCGTCCGCAACAAGCACAACTTTCTTGCGAACAAGTGAATACCACAGTTACAAGAGACCTCGTGCTATTTTCGAATGTCACTTTCTATCGATCCAGGCTGTTACTGTATTGATTAACTGATCGATTGACTGGTCTGGATGCTTGCCGGTTTTCCTATAGAGACTTTGGTGAATTTTTAGGTCTGGGGGATTCTGGAGGACCTTCCTGTCATCTCGAAACCCAGTGTATTCAAGAAACCGCAAAAAAAACACTTACGGGGGAATACGTTTGAAATGCTGCGATAAGACTATCAGAAAGCTTTTGCATGCGGTTACCAGCTGGAATTATCATAGGCTTCTCACAGCAAACATAAATAACACTTGCTGCCATCAATACACACTTCC